AAAGACCTTAAATATATTATAATTTAACGTTAAAATATCTTAAATTTAATAGTAAATTAAACTTATAATTATTACGTTAATAGCTATAAAAGTAAATTAAATAATAAAATTATCCTTTAAATTAAAGCTATTTAAGTACGAAAAATAGGCCCTTATTTATAAATATTAAGGTTATTTAATAGGTTACCTAAAAAGTAATTAATTTAAGGGGTTTTACGGTATCCAGCTATTAAAGGTCCAGCTTTAATAGGGTGGTAGCGCGAGCCTTCTTTTAAGGCTTTTCGTACAATCGAAAAGCAGCTATTTGAGGCGTTTTAGGGCTTATCGGGGTCCCCGATGAATAGCCGCCATTTTCCATTGAAAGGGGCCTTTGGCGTTGATATGTCCCTTATTGAACACAAGGAATGGGTGAAGCATCCAGATGTTCAGCTAGACCGCCCCGTCTCGGAATTTCGTCAGGTACTCGAGGAATGGTGTGAGAGGCGGCGAGCCGGGAAACAAATTACTTTCCACACAGAAGCCCCCAATTTCTTGGACTGGCCGCCGGTTCCCGATCCACCGCTTTCAGAAGTCGAAGTCCACTACGTAGGCAAGACAGTGAAAGAGACTCAAAAGTTGTATGATTGGAAAAGTAACGATTCGCAAAAACAGGGAAAGCCTGTACTAAACTGGCAGCGCCGTCCTCAAAGGTCGAAATCGGGGGAGGTTCAATAGCCTTATGCAAAGACTAGCCCCAAAATTGAATAGATCTGGACTGGTAGCTTGCCCGAGGTTTCATAGAAGCAGACCAAATATATTTTGATTGAAAGCTGATACCCAGTATGCATCGACTTCACTGGGTCTCATCACAAATCATGTAAAATGATGGATTGGTCCGTTGTGAGCCTCGGAAAGTAAATTGTACCAAGGTAGCTACTCTGTAGCTCAGGCAGTTCCATACTCTGGAAATAAGCAGGGGTGGAGTTACATTTGTCATTTTATCAATATTATATAGGAAATAACTTGACCAATATTATAATTAACGAAACTGCGATAATCACGTACCTTCTGGCCCCCGTGAGTAGCCCTTCCGCAAGGCTCGACTCTCGTTGAGTCACAGTAGGTCACGTGACTGAACGAACCTCGAAAGAATCTCGTACCTAGAGCGATGTCCAAAGAGCATCAACCACTTCAGCCAACGTTTGAGCTACAAAAACTGAACTCACATTTGCAGGCCGGGCAACTTGACGTGCCCTCATTTCTTGTGGCCCACATGGTGTTATTCCTGCGTCGAATTCCTTACGACTCCTATAGAGTTTATGACGAAGAGAATCAAAGTTGATCCGCGTAGTTCATCTTTAGTCTCCAGTCTGCCGCGTCTGTCAACTGACGTGAGGCTCAGACGAACTGGAGCCAATGCCGTTGCCTAAGCGAACAATCAGTTTACTGCCTGCTGAAGGGCTTCTGCGGGAGTATTTGCTTGAATGCGCACAGCATTTTCCCGGCCTCGAAATCTGGATCACGGGTGGATGGGTTCGTGACCGACTGCTCGACATCCCCTCCTCGGACCTTGATGAGGCGCTGAATAACATCACGGGTAGGGACTTTGGCAAGTTCTTGGAGGCTTTTTCATCCAGACCAGATATCCAAGCCAAGTATCACCAGAAAGCGATCGAACTTGGCATACCTGATGCCAGGTTCAGCAGATTCCACATATTGGAGAGAAACGCCGACAAAGCCAAGAATCTCGAAACAGCAGGAGGCAAGCTATTTGGCTTAGATATCGATTTGGTAATTCTTCGGAAAGAGGTCTACGATGGCCACAGCCGAGCTCCCGAGATGCAATTCGGCACCCCAGAGGAAGATGCTTTCCGCCGGGACGCCACGGTCAATTCTCTTTTCTTTCATCTCGAGAGACAAGAGGTTGTTGATCTCACAGGGAAAGGGTTAGATGATCTAGAATCGAGGATCATGAGGACGCCTTTGGACCCACGCCAGACCTTCATGGATGACCCTTTGCGCACTCTCCGGCTTATTCGAGTTGGTAGCAAGCTCGGTTTTGCCATTGGACCCAAGGCATTGTGTTGCGCGACAGAATTGGCATTGAATTGCTCAAAATAATGAGAGGTTCAAATCCAGCGGTCGCATTTCAGCTTCTTTTCGAGACAGATCTTTATACTCCGGTTCTCATCCGTCTCGATTCGCCCCTGCTTCAGATGTACAGGCTTAATGTCCTGGTCTAGGGCAATCAAAGTCCTTGCCGTGGCCAAACACCTGGCCTCGGGCCTATTGGCTTCTCGAACACCTTTTAAAGGCCGGCAGCGATATCGGCAAGATGATTCAATGTGAGGCAAACGCGGATTTTCTCTGGACAATGACTGCCTATGCACCGTTTGCCGGACTACGTCAAATTATGCTCAAACAGGCGGTCGAGGAGGCAGCAATAGCCATCCGAGCCCCGGCCAAAGTATTCAAACTTCTTGAGAGTGCCCTCAAGAATTTCAATTCCATCCGCACCATCGTGGATACTATCGCGGGTCCGCCGGATAAGCCGCCTCCTCGAAGCCTCATTGGCATGGCAATTCGCTCCTGGGGCGTCCTTTGGATTGCCCAAGTCACGTACGTACTGCTTGCCCAGAGTGCGTATGCTCCACAAACGTCGTCTTCAACAGTGTCTTCCGTAAAGGAACCCCAGATAAAAGAGGAGTTGCTCGAAGGGCCACTATTGCGAGAGATTCTGCTTTTTGCCGACTTTGTATGGAAAAATGACTTGCAAGACGCCCACCTCTAACGGCCATTGTTAGACGGAAATGAGATTCAAGGTCTCTTTGGCCTACAGAAAGGGGGCAGGTTCCTCGAGACGGCACTTGATGGCCTTGTGGCGTGGCAGTTTGATCATGTCGATGGTGGTGTTGAAGCCGCCAAGGCGTGGCTTTGGAGGCAACAGGAGCAGCTGGGAATTCCTTGTGATGGTCAGGGGTGATGTCGGACTGGAGAAATAACAACCTCCTGCACTGACGGAGGTCTCTCCACTTTGTCTACTCCGTACGCCGGCGGGTGGGCAGGTCCTGCTTGGTCTACGTATTTGGGACATACATGGCATTGCGACCTCGAAGACATACGTGGCACGAGTGGACTTTTTTGCGATGACAACTCGGAGATTGAAACCAGAGCCATCTACTTGGGTACGGTACCTAGGTACATACGGAGAACTCGGATGGCCCATTGATATTTAGTTGCCGTTTTGCCAGGTCCAACCACATGCAAGCCGTCGCTATCCAACCGGGAACAGGTTATGCCGCACGCGGCTTCTTATTGCCTGGATAGCTAAACTCCGGGGCCGAATACGTTCCATCCCTGTTATGGGTGACGGTTGCGATGACTTGGCCCGGCAAGGCGTTGGTGAAGTCAATCTCCGCGAGGGCGCCGATTTGAGTAATGTCGACGGCAGTTCCTGCCGCGTAGCTTCCCGTTCCCACGTAGTAGGTGACTTTGGGAGTCAGCTGGTACGTTTCGTTGGGCAAGGCTCGCCAAACGGCGACGGGGACGACTTCTCCCCGATCATTGAATTTGCCGTAGCCGCAGTACACCGTTTCTAGTATCATGGAGCTTCTGTTAGGGCTCTGTTCACCACGCGTGCGCCTTGAGGAACAACAACATACTGTACCGGTCGGGGTCGAAGGGCTTGGTCTGGATGCCAAAGGAATTATCCTTGTCCGTTGTGCCGTAGGGCGGAACATACTGGGGGCCGTCGCTGACAATCTCCATGACTGGCACGGTACCCGGCTGTGTGTTGCTCTTCAGCTGAACGGCGGCAGAGTCGCTCGTCGAGACCACGACGCCATAATCGACCGGCACCGGGGTGGTCCCGCAAATGGCGAAGTTGGCAACCTTGACGTCAAATGTGGCTCTGCCATTCGGGGTACCGACGCCAGGCGATCTGATCCAGACGTTGTTGTATATCTTGCCAACAGAAGGAGACTCCTCTGGCTTTTGGTTGAAGAAGAGGTAGTTTTGGGAGCCCGTGGACTTGTTCAGAACAACGATCTTGTACTCGGCGGTGGCCATGATGGGCAACAAAGTCTTTTCTGGCTCTTTGAGAGTAGTTCTTGCTGATAGGACAGCTACTTTGGTTTGTTGTTCATGAATTAACCTGGGTAGCGAGGGCTTCATTTATACCTTGTTTGTTGCGCCGGTTGCTGTCAGCCGAGCCAGGATTTCCCCCGTCCATCACATCGACTTGAGTGGGCTCTGCCTCGCTCGAAGCCAAATTTGTTGGGGATGTATTGGGTAGACAAGCTTCAAGCACCTTCTTGCCGCCGTAATGTCTACCGTCATAGACATCACCTGCAAGCGTGGCTGGGAGACGTATGCAGGACACCCTACAAGATGCATCAGACAAGACGCAACCGTAAACCGGTCAGCCTTTGTGCCGCGGCCAGCAAATTGAATGGGATAGGAACCGTGCTGTGACGTTCTAGGTTCAGTCATGTAAAGCAATTGACGCTGCATCCGGTCGCTCTGGCAGGAGGCGTAAATGATTGGGCACGGTCAAACACATTTGCTATAGAGTATCACCCATCCCGCTTCGTTGACAGCTGGATTCAGCTACCGTCCTATCAGCGTCGCCGCCAAAGGGTGATACGGTTGCGGGATTCCTCGTGTCTCACGTTATACTGCGTAGATGCCCCTCATGGTATCGTCGTGGTCTACAGTGGGAGGCAACAAGTATTTGCCCACCCGGTGGCGTAGAGTTGTAGCCTCCGACTGTAGACACATAATGCGAGTAGAACGGTTGTTGACCCGCACGGAGGGTATGAAGAATAAACTCGATGCCGTGTTCCATAGCAGATGGAGTCTCAAATATCGTCGTTAAGCGTCACATTTTGACCTCGGTACGCGTAGCGAGACGTGGACGATGGCGTACCTTGTGTCGGATTGTTTCGCATGTTCTTGCCTATCATGGAGAAGAGTTTGATAACAGCAGCAGCAGCGAGTCGTTGGGCCGTAATGGCGGTGAAGACACAGACTCGGCCCAGCAATTCAGCCATTCATGGCAAAATGGCTGGCCGTGATACGACTTGCATATGTAGGGGCTTGAGACATTGCCCCGCGCAATTGCCGAGAAATGTGTGGTCTGGGGCCAGAGAGAGAAAGAGAGAGAAAGAGAGCACCAAGAGGGCACACTTGTGTGCTGGATATCTGGAGTATTTGGCCAAGGGCCGCTATTGCTGCATCGTTTCGCTCCCTAGCTCAACAGATGAACCCGATAACCGTCGTGACATTATTCTTGCACCGAAAGGTATCAACCAAGTGGTTACACGCTACGCCTCATGGTATGCAACCTGCAGCCCAACAATGCTACCTTGATTTGGCATCTGTTTCAAGACCCAAAGCCCACTTCCTGTGGCTGGCTGAAGGCTAGGTATTACTCGCTGCAACTCCATATTTACGAAATATCTACTTACTACGGAGTACGTGTCCAGAGTATGTGGGCCATTTCCAGGGCAGATATCAGACATGTAGCCTGTAGCAAGCTAAAAAGGGATACGAGCTGCATGCTGTGGCGGCAGAAGTAAAACCGCCAAAAGTCCCAAGTTGAAAATACCAGAGGTCAATCTGAGGTTGCGGTTAAACGACTCCATGGGAGAGTTTTGCCCACTTTGAAGCGTCAACAAATCCCTAGGATTGGGCGCGGATCAACCACACCAAAAAATGGATGTACGGACAGAAAACAAACATTCTTTCGAATTTAAATAGACCAATTATTACTAAATAGTAGTTTTCACTACCGCATTTCATACACGTCCCCTGCGCAACCTGCAGGGCCGGAACGGGGCCAGTTGTGTAGTGTAAACTTGCTCTTAGTAACAAGGGCCAAGTTCCGTTTCCGTAGGTATTTGTACCCAGGTATTAACCACAGGTAATGTCAAGGCTTCCAGAGCTTCCAAGACACGGGAAGTAGAAGACTAGGTCTCTAGAGATCCAAGTTATCGAGTTACTATCTGGTCCCCTACGGACTGTAAACAATCCCACTTGGCCTGTTCCGGCCGCGTAGTTTTCCCTTCCCAACATGAAATACAGATTACAAAAACAGGCCTTTGGTACATGAGTGGCCAGACAAATCTGCGCTTGATTCTTTCCCAAATAAATCATAGTGAGATTAATGCAGCTATACTACCCATAGTAGTAATGTCTCTTCTAGGCCGACACTTTGCCTGCGCCCCATGTCATTTTGTTATGACTCAGTCCAGGGGGACATGGGCTGCGTTTGTGGTGCCTTTTATCTGCAGAGGATATATAATAGAGAGACGGCAAGCAGCAGCCTTCACTGCCGGAGGTGATGTTATTACCATCAGGTTTCAACTACAAGTCTCCCTGGTCTTCATACTCTGTCTGCTACGTCCCTCTTGGCGCAGGCGGGCGGCGCAGACACTCAACCTTCCACACCTGGTAGACCAAAAATCGAACAGTGACCCCCAGCTCGGACATATTAATTGCTGAGAGAATGACTGGGTCCGTTTATGCATGTATAAATTTTCCTATTTCATATTCCATAGGGAATGTTGATCCTTTGCGGGGGGTCCAGTCACAAGATGCCCCATATGTCAACGGGTTGAGTCAGGTATTCGGCCGTTTATCTACCATGCACCTAGCTTGTAAGTCTCAAATAAAAGACCGCTAGCCAAGCTGGAACCTGTTCTTCTTGATCAATGGAAAGCTGCTATTTTCGATATCCAATCGCGAAAGACGTCTCAATTCCGTAGCTGGATAGACTCAAGTTCCGTTGTTCAGTTAAATTCACCTGCCTAACCTGATACAAAGTAGCGCGTTATTTTCCAATCAAACTTGTCTTGTTAGCATTCACCGTTCACTGGCCGAGTATCCAGGCACTGTGACAAGGGCTTGTATTCAAGGGCTTGGAGCAAAGGGCTCAATTCAATGATAATCTTGTATGGTATCAAAGGTCCTTGGTTTCCCTGAGCCTTGAGGCGAGGAGGGTCTGTCTTATATACATGAAGGGAACGGCCCGTGCCTAGTATGTCCCATAGTTCTCGTGGTCTCATTGTGTAACTGATAAGTCCTTTATCGGTGAGGCCCCTTTGTTGGGCTTCACGATCTGTTGGGCCTTTTCCGTGTATCAGGCACCGACAGGGTCCAGCCTAGAGTTTAAGGCGGTGATTCGCGAAATATGCTCATATCACATTCCTAAAATGCGCTTCAGCAGCGGGATTTGCTCCGTAGTTTGGCAGCTATATAATTTTGCTCTATAATATGGATGTGAATATTTACCTTCCCGGGCACTCCGTCATTTAATTTGTCTGCGTGGTAGATGAGATTATATAACTCACCCGGGACATTATACTGAGCCAAGACGATACCAGCCTGCTTAGATTGACTGCTCCGGTAGTTCTGCCAACGCAAACGTTGCCTGGTTTGTCATACATTTGACGTCTCTACTCGACGGATTCTAAACTCTGGGAACGAAAGCTTTGAGTATTCACTTTTACCAGCTAGTAACTTATTACGGAGTAGTTAATATGATATAAGAGAATATGTACATTTTGACCTCCGGGACGAGGAAAACTACCAGATAGTGTTTATTTTTTAAGCTAGTTGATTTTTATTGCTTTTCTTGTGGCAGTTGCGGAGGCTTTCGCGAAATAGCCTCTGCCAGCGCGTAGCTATGCCGCGCTGTACCGCAGCTATGAATCACAGCTTCTCACCGCGATGCGTGTTCTTGCGGGATTTAGGTTATTACATTACGGTTCTCTAGTTTGGTACGACTAGGTACACAGCGTTGGTCTTATTAGGCCTTACCTGATGCAGTGCTTGCCTGAATATCGGAATAGGTTTGTCACACAGGGGCAAGGCGGTGGTGTAAGCAGTTTGCAACCACCACATAAACCTATCCTTTGCGCACAACCACGGCGTTTTGCTAGCTTCATTCTACCAAATCCGACCGAGTCTCATGTTTGAGTCAAATGCCAACAATCTTTCATCTCCTTCTTGGGATCAGCGTATCTGGGCGTTCCGTCATCGACAAGTGGCCGTCTCTTCCACCCTCATCCATTGCACGCTGATCAGATAGGCTTGCACTTGATACCACACTAGCCAAGACGCCAGCAAAACATCGGACAAAGCGACCGTAAGCTCCGGTAAATGGCCGTCCGACGTCGGGCCCGCGGGGAATCACGAAATATTATGGGGCCGCAATCAACCTTGCCTCAACTCAAACCCGCGGGTTTCAACAACCCGGCCTCCGTCCGCTTACTCACGTCTTCCCTTGGCCCTCATGCGAGACCTGGTGCATGCTAAACGGTGCTGTCATCCCCTCTCGATGCCAAGGTGCCGCCCGTCATGACGACCGACGAACGAACGCCGCTCATCGCCCCTGACAGGAGCGGCAATGGCGTCGCCACCAAGTCCTGGCTACAGCGCGTGTTCCATGTGGAGAATAGGATTCTGTTTGCCGGCTTCCTGATCACGCTGTCGTTCAGCTATACCCAAGTTCCGTAAGCGGCAATGGCGGAAACGGAATCGCATCGAGATTGACCAGTGACCCTAGGCTCTTCTATGTGTTCCACCTGATGGAATGCGACGTCTTCTACGACACCCATCCGCCGTACCAGGGAACCGGAGACAGATGTAGCCGGAATGAGATTGCCGCAGGGACGGCAACGCAGTTCAGCATCCTGGGCATGAGCACAACCTTCTGCGGTACGCCTGTCCGATTTGACCTGCTTGCATATGCTAAGTGGACACTTTGTAGGAACCTTCAACCTCTTCGTTACGGGATGGTTTTGCAAGAGGTTTGGCCCGAGACTAGCGCTCATGATGCAGACTTTCTTCCCGGCCGTCCGCGTTTTGACTCAGATTCTCGGAGTCATCGCGGGGAAGAGCGCCGGCATGATGATTATCCAGGCGACGCAATTGATTACCATTCTAGGCGGGCCAGCAGGTTACATGTAAGGCTTGCGAGTCAATTCATCCCGCTGTATTAAAATTGCCGCAGATGCTAATGCCCGCACAGCCTCGCGGTAAATATCATTGCCGGCGAGCTCGTCGAGCCCGTGAGAAGGACGGCAGTGTTCGGCATGCTCCAAGGAGCCATCATGCTGGGCCAAGGAATCGGATACTTGAGTGAGTTGTCACCAGATATATCCGACTTTTGTCACTTCCGTTTGGCCTAACGCAGTTGTAGCGGGCGGCATGATTGGTGATGCGATTGACATCCGCGCCCCCTTCGACGTCGCCTTCGTTTCGTTCCTTATATCCTGCGCATATGCCTACTTTTGCCTGCCGTACATTTCACCGGAATCCATGTCGAGCGCGGCGAAACCTGGTGAGAAAGACACGGGAGGTTTCCTTGCGCCGCTCCGAATCCTGCTGCCCCAGCGCCTTCGCCATCCCAACGGCAAAATCACCAAGCACTTTGGCGTTATTTTCCTGTGTGCGGGAATATTTCTGGGCGTCGTACGTTTCTCTGCACATCCCTCGCCAAAATTGAGTCATTAACATAATGGTAGCTTGCAACTGGATACGCACCACTGCTCATTCAAATGCATGCCACGGCCGAATTCAGCTTCAACCAAGCCGACAACGGCTGGCTCATGTCCGAGTTTGCCATCATGAGGAGTGTCTTCCTGCTGTTCATGTTCCCGCCCATCATCTCCTGGGGACGAGGATGGATAACTAGACGGAGCGCCTGTGTCTCGCAACCAACCACCACGGAGAACGGCAATGCAGAGCCAGGGCACATACCCGTCGACCCTGGCGAATTCGACGCGACTGTCGGTCAACAGGCCGACGAAGAGCCAGTGCAGTTTTCCATGGTCGAAGACGACCGCGAGGCTTCAAAGTTTGACCTCATCTTCCTGCGATGGAGTCTCGTCGTGGACGGTGCGCTCACCACCGTCGCTGCATTTGCCACGCAGCGCTGGCACATATATCTAGGTCAGTCACTACGCTGCCTCTTGAATAGGGTCTCATCGTACTAAAATAATCGCAGCCGCTTTCCTGCTCCCCTTTGGGTCTGGATCTGCCCCGGCGGCCAAGGGCGTCATCACGGAGATGTGCACCGATGCCCAGAGAGCCGACGCACTAAACGCCGTCACTTTGGTGGAAAACGTGGCAAGATTGGCCACGCAGGGCCTATTTGGCTTTGTGTTTGCTGCCTTTGCCGAGATGGGCCACGCGTATCTCACATTCTTTTGCAATGCGGTAAGTCGATATACTCATGGTCGGCCCCAATCAGTCTGACATTGGTTTTGCAGGCTATCGCCGTTATCGGCATGGGAGTACTGTTGTTCTCCAACTTTCCGGCTGCTGACTGCCAGCTTGTTGACAAGGATGGTGGATTGAACGAAGTTCATGATGACGATGATGATGATGCCTAGGGCATGGACGGGGATGACGCATCTGCACAGCATATACATGGCGTTTATTTTGTACATGTCGCACATTGCATCTAGTGGATTTATCTTGTTTGACTGTTTTGAGACACGGAACTTCGAGATGTTGGAATTCACATCTGTATAGAGAAAAGCTATTTATCCCCTCCTCTGCAGAGGTTATGCGGCAGTGCTCACCGGAACACCAACCGCGACAAGCCCCCTTTCCAACCTTTTTTGCCAAAATTTGGAGATCTGTACAGTAGGTTTTGGCGTCAAAATCACTCCTTGGCTATCAATGGCCTCCAAATATGCAAGAGCACGGTCTCGCAATTCGGTAGTAACCGCTCCACAAGCCGCAACATAGGCCGCCCAAGCGATTGACGTTGTAAAGTCTTGGTCTCTCGCCTTAAGATCAATACAGGGCTGTAATGCATCCAGGCATTTTCTGGCTTGTTCTTGGAGCACCATTGCATCGGTGTCGTATACTCTTCTATAAAAGTAAATTATGACTGCTTGGTGCATGGCGCCCGACAACTTCGCCTCTATGATGTCCACGTCTCCCTCGGATGCCAGCCCGGGAGATTCGTGAGCCTCAGGCTGTGAAAGTTCTGTCGGTATTTTCCATGACCACATCTCATGCTCTAGTGTTTGCAGGTGCTTTTGCAGAAGGTCCGAAGGAGGAGCATCGAATGAAGCCACCTTCCGAAGCTTGTTTTTCTCAGTAGCGCATGCCACAATTCGCGACAGGAGGCACATGAGAGACTCCGGTATGCCATATATTGAAGAATAGAGAGGATTTTCTGCCCGATTTGGCGTTTCGAGATGAATGTCGTTGTTGACGTTGCTCGTTGTTCCGTCTAGACTCAAATCCTTGCGTTGCGGATTGCCCACCATTTCAAATTTTGGTGACACCGCCGGAGCTACTGCGTGATGATTGAGACCCGTAAATTCGTTGACGCAATCCGCAAAGGTGCATGTCCCCTCAGTCAAGATTCGTAAGTGTGCATACATATGTTGAAGAGTCCTCGCCTTGACCGAGTTCTGCTTGTGTAGTCCACGATGACGAATTACCTATTCTGCCACCAAGAGATATCCTTTGAATGCTTCTGGCTTGTCAAATAGCTAAAGTACGTCAATATGTGCCAGATACTATTCGTTTCGAGTGACCTTACTGAGACCATAGCCACACTCAAAATTGCCATTAGCAGTTCCTTGTATTTTGCACGGGCAACTCCAAGAATCTCGTCTTGCAATGCCTGAAAGAGGAGTCTCTTGGCTTTAGTTTGGTATTTAAGACCAAGTTCACGCCATTTCCCGTCGGAGCGTTGAGTTGCGTGCAAATGATATGCGCTGTTTGCCAAGATAGCGTACAACACCGCAGGTCGAGGATGTGATGCAGAATTCCACAACTTGATCTCGCCATATGTTTCCAGGGCACAAGGCCAACGAGGAGCTGCCAAGGTGACTTCCTCCATTTGCGCAGATCCGCGGCGGGTTCGAGAACTCGTTCCTTGTAGTGACGAAGCAGCGGTTCCATTTGGGACAGGAGTCCATCAGAGTTGGAATTTTGGTCCGATGAGAGCGCTGATGGTGGGAGTGGGATGCTCAATGTAGGCAACCAATCGTCCCATTGTTCTGACGGAGTGCCTTTCATAAACGCATGCGGGCTAGTAGGCGGAAACAGTGACGCAAAGTCAGTGTCGTAGAAGTCAAGCGGTTCTTAAGAAGGAGAAAGCGCAAGAAATGAACCTGAGACAGCAGTACTGTCTATGGGCTCATTCAAAACATTCTGTAAAGTCCTTTTGTGTGAAGGCTCGCAATCCGTGCCAGATGAGAATGGCCCAGTTCCTGCGGCATGCCCTTGGCCAGGGCCATCGACGTCAGTTGGAACTGAGCCTGACAGGCCACCTTCGTTACCTGACCTAGACCATTTCTTATCTTTCGAAGAGTTTTGTTAATCGACTGCAAAAACACTAAACGGACCTTTCACAAATGAAGAGCCCCTATTTTCCAAGTTGCTAGGCTGCTGCCACTGGTCCACTTCGTTGAAAGCTTTGGTCGTGCTTTGCTCTCCAAGGCTCCTCGTCAGTTTCGAGACCAAAGCCTTTCGACGGGATTCTAATAGGCAATTAGCAGAGGCATCGTCAAGAAGTATCCACCACATACCAGATAATAACGGATATCGATATATTGCTCCCCGATGACTCTGTCTCTCTTCTGCATACTCCCTGCCATCCGAGCCGCTGTAGGAGAGCTTGCATCCTCTTCCTTCGTTCCCGGGTCTGCCTCCGGGACCGTCTTCAATGACTACGATGACGTGGCTGATATTCAGTCCATCATACGGAAGCATCCTCCTCGAGCTGTAGACAGCTACATTCTTGACAGCGTATCAACCGACACCAATATCAGGGCGGCCCTGGTGTTTCCCCCCATAGTCTATGGCTTAGGCAAGGGCCCCTTGAATCAGCGCAGCATCTAAATTCCATCACTTGCCTCTGCAACCATTAAGCTTGGGCACGGAATCAGGATCGGTTCCGGGGAGAACCGTTGGGGCAACGCTCATATCAGAGATGTGGGACGAATATTTTCCAGTCTCGCAGAGGCAGCCGCCAACGGCCGCAATGACGAGGGTCTGTGGGGTCAGAATGCTCTCTACCTCGCCGGGGTTGGTGAAATAGTAAGTGAAAGACCAGCATAAGCCTACTCATCGGTACATGTTAAGCTAATGGGGTAGAATTTTGCCGAGATCTCGGCCAGAGTTGCCGCTGCAGCTAAACATCAAGGACTCATCGCTTCTTACAAGGTCGAAGAGCTGGGGAAAGACCAGTACGATACTGTTCTCCCCCATGGCAAGGTTCTATTTGGCACCAATGCACGAGGTCAAGCTACAAGAGCCAGAAAGTTGTTAGGCTGGGCGCCGAGGGAGAAATCTTTGGAGAGTGACATTGAACGAACCGTTTCAGAGGATCACAGCCGTGGTCATTCATAAACGAACGGTACCTAACATACCAGACGGCTTACTAACAGAGAAAGGAACGGTCATTCCTGTGAAGCTTTAGATAGCCGACTACAACAGAATGCCAGCATTTCGGCCGTATATTTTGCTCAGAGGTGATTCAAAGGCCCCATCCAAGTATAAATTCTTGCCCGATACATTTTCTACAAGTAAATTAATACCAGTTGACATTATAATATACGACAGCTTGCTACTCCCCACACGAGTCGAAGGAATACGCGTATCATATTCCTGAAATGCTTATTATTCTTTTAATATACAAAGAAGTCTGATTTTAATAACTACTAATAGTTTAATAATAGATAAGACCCCCTGGATATTGAGGTCAAGGTCTTCTGTCCATACTGTGGAACGTTCAGAGTAGTACCCTGGCCATTGATGTCGACTATTTTCATGGTCCCAAACATGCCGCTCTCTATCAAAGCCACTCAAGGCGTTTTTTCACAGAACTACCCTCGTGAAGAGAGAAAACAGCCCTATAACAACCTTGCAAAGTGCACCTTCAGCCCGCAGTATACGCCATGTGCAAAAACAACAGAGTCTCTATGCCCACTAGACTCTATGCTCTCACACATCGTCTTTCGAATCTTCAGCTCGTAGCCGCATCGTAATCTCCTCTGTCTCAATAGCCAAGGACGTTTCCCGAGGTCGCCATATATCCCAGTCTGTCGGTGTCACCACAGTCTCGGTTTTAGGCACATTTATAACCCTTCTCTCTGGAAAACGAATACCTGATGAAGTGCATCTCGGTATAGTTTCTTCTTCCTGCAATCGAATACCTCTATTGTAATCTTGATGCGTGGATAGCATCAAGACGGGTGGCCGAGAACATTGGAAGCCACGGTAACATGTCATTCGTTTCGACGAATCGATGGCGCAAGCTTCGTCAGAATTCCTGCGTCTTGGCAACGAGACCGCGGGATCGGTGAGAGCGAGAGACGGTCTGGTGCTCCCAGCTGATCCGGGGTGTGAGCATCGATGCTCATCACGACGTCTACGGGAGTTGTCTGACCTGCTCGTGATCAAATTATGCTCTTGGTCTTTGAGATGGCACCGTTCAGAACAATAGTCCGATCCATATGCCTGGTTATCGCATCCGAGACAGAAGGACCCGGCCCAGCTCGAAGTCACGGAGCCAGTAGCCATGAATGAAGCTTCGAGTTGAGGCAAAACATCTACATGTAGAAGATAGTCAAGGAGGGCTTTGGGGAAAAGTAAAGGGGCAAAATCTTCTGGTGCTGGCGACCGAAACTATGCCTCCTCGAAAACTGACAATCTACGGGGATAAACACAAATCGCGGAAATAAAGCTCAGCTTTGAAATCAAAGGACGCAAGTTCTGACTGTAGTCCAGCAACAAGGACTGGGCCCATGACATGGACCTGCTACAAGGATTCCATAGGTGCTCACGATTGCGCGTTTATAAGGGAGCAAAATAAGCAGCAGCCTGCAGCGGCACCACGATCGCCGGTCCATATGCAGTTTCTTGATTCCTCAGGTATTTCTGTGGTATGCAACACCGAGGCATGCAGCTGGATGTTTGCGGACTGCCGTATATGTCTTGCCGATATTTGCTTTGGCATGTGCATCTTGGCGCGGCAACCGTAGATATACAATATGCTCACTCACATCCCGTCCAAATACAAGTCATCTCCATAAGGCTACTGGGATATCGGGAAACGGTGAAGTGCAGAACTGTAATTACTCATGTTTGTAGAGCACCGACAAGTCTCTTACATGAAAGCTGAACAATAAATTGAAATAGGTGGCAGCCAAACTCCAAGAGCAGGCATAGATTAAATCAGGCCATGCGTGACGCACCATGACATCATGTCATACCAGGTGCGTGCTGCAAAAGATTGAGAGGCAAATAAGATAGCCCCGGCTACATTGAACCCTGGTTATCAACGTGAAGACACGCTTCAACCCAGGAGCTGCCTTGGGGGGGTAGCATCGGATAGCCGAGCCGCTCTGCGGTGCAGACGCATCAATAATATCAACTTGGGCATAAGTACGGGGAGGTTAAAGAGAGGCATCGGGCCATTTTCCAGTAGAGTTACATTTCCCCAACCTCTGATGCTGCGCCTGACACCCACGTTGTGACCAGTAGTAGCAGCACAAAGGCGCGGCCCGAATCCGATATACATCTCGACAAGAGCAAGGATTCGATTTGTATATTCATTGCCCATCCCATAATTTCACGCCCACCAGCTGCTTCTGGCCAGTCCTCGACACCGCACTCCAAGCGGGCGATGCAAGAAGGCCAATGTAGAGGAGTCATGTAGCCGAGTGACGATGAGTAGGCTGAGGGGACTCCGTGTCCAAGGCCAACATCCTTGTGACACATTGCGTTAGATATTGTCCATGTACCCAGCGGTTTCACCATAAAGTTGACAGAGAGAGGAAATGCGCACATCACGAAGCAAAGCAGGATATTCGAGCAAGCTCGGCTGCGGACACGCAGCATCTTCCCCGGACATAGCGAGCTACAGACATGCAAGTTGCCATAGGTCGGCATACTTGCGGGAATAATGATGAGAATTGCTGCCCGACTGTACACCAAAGACATCATCGTGTCGCGTTAGCCGTTGCACCAACTACCATACGCTGGTGGCACGGCCTGACATGATTGCAACTGCATGCCTGAGTCGCCGGCTCATGGCCCAATTATTTGTACCGGACCGTCTTGCTGGATGCTACTCTCCGGCAGTTCCTCGTACCGTCTGCGTGCCATCACGGCGGCCACAAGCAAGCGTGGTCATAAAGGTGCCCCTAGGGCTCGGAAGCTGTCCTGTAACGCTCGGCACGTCACAGGCCGAGATACATCCAAGACTATGCTTCCCACGCACGCGGTTAGAGCCATGTCGATTACCTTTGACGCTGCAGTTTACAAGTAGGAACTTACGTGCTGTCCCCGAAGCTAGCCAGGCCGATACGACGCCACTAAAGCAAGACCAAAGTCTCGAATACCGGACAAGGTTACACTCGCAAAGTCCCTGACCATATACTTTCTCATTGGCAATCAAGGTATTCAGCTTGCTCGAGCGGCCATACATCTTTCGATGATGGCTTGGATGCAGGGTCTGAGATCGACGGGCTTCGGTATAATGTTGAAGAGGGGGAGGACCAATTATTGCTCGTAATTGATAGCGACGCCGACAACTAAATAAGGACTATGCCTAGTATATGCTGCTGCGGTACGGAGTAGACGCTATTCCCCAAAAGAGTTGAGGTGGCTGGGATTACCGCGATGCTAAACTGTCTTCACTTATGCTTTGTACATCCAAGCCCAACAGCACACCAAATTACCATGGAATACACATGCCTCGCACATTCAAACATCAAATTCCATTGGCACACGCAAGTAAAATTCGTTTCTTGCATCTAATGCTCATCTTGTATGCACTCTTCGCGGGCTCCAGAGGGAGGCACCAGGCGCCTCCCCCTCTCGCCCCCCAAAAAAAGCCAAATAGCCAAAGCCGCACATTTGTTGGCAGCAAATGATAATGATGTATGCCATGGATGGCAGCTGTCATTTCAGATTGCCGACGATCTTCGGCGCCCGTACATTCGTGGGGCTGCCATTCAAAGCCGTCCCCTCGAGCCGACTACGCCACTGCGCGCGGCGTGCCCGGAGGGGTGCTCTTCTCGACATCGGGATTCTCGGATTCGTTGCAACGTCCACCTTCCAACTCTGGCTGGCATTCAAACTCAGCGCCGCGCTTGTAGGGCTGAAGCAAAATACCACTATAAACAGCCACCAAACGGCGGCAAAAGAAGTAGCCGGCGCCTGGGTCATGCATTTCCTTGTCCTAGCACTCACAGCTGACCATACAAGCGCATATTGCTAGCCTGAGCTGAGCATGAGGCGCTTTGAAGAACGTCATCTCGGTAGAGAGTATCATGGGGGTCGACCAAAGACCAGGGTCCAGCGCCAACATGACCACAGTCAATCGCAGGCTTGAAAAATTTCCGCATCCGTAGATCAAGAGTCTGTGAGTAATCACCTTCCATTGCAAATCTCCGAAGTAGAAGTCTCAGAGGGCGTGATGGGCGGTGTTTCAAGCAAGTTCACCTCCATTGTCGGCCGGACAGGTTGTTGTTTCATCGGGTCCAGCCACAGCAGTAGCTTCCGCAGCAGCAAGTTCCTGCTAACCGGCTTCGGGATGTAGTCGTCCATCCCAGACTGGATGCATTTCTCCCTGTACCCCCTGAGGGCGTTGGCCGTCATGGCCACAATGGGCACGTTGCTGCCGAGGCGCCTGATGCTCGCGGTGGCCTCGAACCCGTCCATGACGGGCATGCTGACGTCCATCAATACCATGTCAAACTCGCCCGGGGAGCCGTTTACGATTGACACTGCCTGGGCCCCGTCAGAGGCGACGGCAATGTTCTTGAGCCCCAGAGAGTGCAGCATCCCGACCAGCACTTTCTGGTTGATGATGTTGTCCTCCACCACCAGAATCCGCATCGTGCTTCCTGCTTCTTTCAATCTGTCCAGCACCGCGGCCGAATCGCCGTTCCCCAGTGTCACCTCTCCTGCTGAGTAATACGGCGAAGGTGTTTTGTCTGCATCATTCTGCGGCTCTCTTGTACTTGTAGTCTTGTCGAGTTGGACCACGAACCAGAATACGCTGCCTTGGCATGCAGGGTTCGGTCTGTATCCCAGGTCGCCGCCCATCAAAACCGCCAGAGACTTGGCTATAGATAGGCCTAGTCCAGTTCCTTGAAACCGCTTCTTGATGGAGACCTCGGATTGCATAAAGGGTTGAAACAGGTCCTTCATGTCGCCGTCCTTGACGCCTATTCCAGTGTCCGTGATCTCGGTGAGAATCGAGTAAGCCGTCTCGGTTTCCTCTCTCACGGAACAAGAGACCGATATGGAGCCTGCATCCGTAAACTTGGCCGCGTTGTCAATTATGTTCTGCATGATTTGCCGGAACCGCAGTTGGTCCCCTCGTGCCAGTCTCGGCAAGTTCGGCGCCAGTTGCAGCTTGATGTGAACTCCGGGCATCAAGGTCGTCTGGGTAGTCCGAACAACCGACGTGACCAGATTTCCCACGCCAAAGACTTCCGGTGTGATGGAGAAGGTCCCGGACGCAAGTTTCGAGTAGTCCAGGATGCTGTTAATCACACCAAGCAACACCTGCCCCGACTCGGCAATAATGTTTGCCGTCTCGCGCTGGTCCTCTGATAGGTTTGTGTCCAGGAGCAGGGAGCATGCCGAGAGCAGGCCGTGCATTGGCGTTCGGATTTCGTGGCTCACGTTGGCGAGAAAGTCGTTCTTTAGCTTGGAGCTCTCCTCGTACGCGGCAATGAGGCGCAGCTCGTTTTCCCTTCGTTCCGTCAGATCTCGCGTGACCTTGCCAAAGCCAATGTGCATGCCGTTCCTGTAAATGGCCGTAATGACGACGTTGGCCCAGAACTTGCTGCCGTCCTTGCGGTAGCGCCATCCTTCGTCTTCCACTCTCCCCTGGCGCAGGCACGTCATCAGCTCCTTCTCGGGCTTTCCAATGCGCAGGTCCTCTTGGCCGTAGAAATTGAAAAAGTGCCTGCCGATGATGTCTTCCCTCTTGTAGCCCTTGAGCAACTCGGCCCCGGTGTTCCACGTCGCCACGTAGCCGCGCGTGTCGAGAAGGAAAATAGCATAGTCCTTGACAGTCTGGACGAGAAGCCGGGACATTTCGTCATTCAACCGGTCGCTCAGGTATCCGTCCTTGCCAGCAGCCTTGCTGAACCAGTTCTCATCTTGGTCAAACTCCATGACCAAGAACTGCAGCTCCGCATCCTTAAATATGGGGATGATGCGTGCTGACCAGGAGGCTTCTCCACTTTGGTATGCATTTGGGCACAACATCAAGTCCCGACGGGCGATTGCATTCTCGATGGCGCTGTCAAGAGGTATGCGGTCAAACCTCTCCAATGCCGAGCCCCCATATAGAACACTGAAAACGTCCTTGCCAATAAGGTCCTTGATATTGCGGTTCCATCTGTTCTCGATGCTCCGAGAGGCTCTTCTCACGCGATGGCACGGAGACACAACGAGAGTCGCAACGGGAGACGCATCCCAGAACAAGTCGATGTCCAACTCTCCACAGTCAGCCTGCTCAGAGCTGGCTTCGGCAGGGAGCCGCGTTTCCTGCATGACGAATAGTGTAAAAAGACGATTGATTCAAATCAAACCAACATTGTGCAGGGCAGGCTAGCATCATTCCGCAGCGTTGAGTTGTGAGGAGCAAGTATCTCGAGTGTTTTTCGGCCTGAAAGGGGCTGGGGGGTTTTGCAGTCCATGCATTAATGGCTAGCGCCACAACAAAGCCTCGTGCTCGCGTGAGTGGCGGAAAGTCTGGTCCGGAACAGCCTATGTGGCAAAAGCTCAAGCATCCCGCTGCGCTTTTTTGCAAGTCTCCATGGGATGGGTGTGGTGGTGGTGATGTCCTGTGGCACTTCCAGGGAAGAGACAGTTGGCTCAAGATGGCCAGGGTTCGTTGTGAGGTGGTGTTGTTCTGTCAGATAAACAGCTGGATTTCCTTTTTAGGAAGACGGGATGTTCTGTCGATGGGATGCGTCTTCGGACTTGGCGCCGTTGTCTGGGGCTGTGACGTAAAAGTGTCGCCAGACAGCCAGGCTCATGCAAACTCGTCGTCATGCATCCTTGGGGTCCAAATCTTGGGGTTAGGGTTATGGCTCTTCAAATCCGACTGCCCATAAGCAAGTAGCACGTTGTCAACTTTGTTCGCGCATCAGCAGCTGATGGCTCTGTCTGTCTATTAGAGATTACATACTCCGTATAGCGTGGCGATATAATTCGCAAAGGCGCAGTGTGATCATATGCTTATTGAGGGTGGATTTATTATTCAGCTCCCCTAAAAGTGGCTGAGGATTCTAGTGTTTCTAGCTTGGTGATTGGCCCGGGGCACCACTGCCACAAGATTGACACCTGTCAAGGCAAGGTCCCCTATTAACACTACTATTAATACCATATATTTTATTATGTATTTGTACTTGTAATTTCCTTTTAAAATGGTACATTTTTAGGGTCCCAAATCCGCCAGAGAGGGTGCTGAATTGATCCATTGACCCCTAACTTATCAATGGTCGCGCCCCGGGATTAGAACCGTCATACAGCAGGCATTGGCCAAGATCAGCGTCTACAAACTACCCGGTACTGGCTGAGGAACCGTCTCGAAAACCATCTAGCATGTCAAAGACTACACATCGCCGGCTCACGACTACCATTACGAGTCGTCAAATTTGTGGAAGAGTCTCGGTTGAGGGCGGCCTTGTGAACGGGGCATGCCTGGAAAATTGCATTGCTCTTCGTCACTGCTGAGGTTGTCGATCTGACGTGGAAAACAATGGCTAAATAATATTCAAAAAAATGTGTAGCTATCTCGGCTCTATCTCGCACCATAAAGTCTGGCATAAACGTGAGCCATCATCTGGGCATCCGGTTCATGTGGGTGGATTTTCTTTACATCATCCAAGATCCTCAAGATGGTCAACAACGCCAATCCTCTGACATGACGACCATATACTGCCATACTTTCCTAACAATTGCCGCATACGGGAGCTTCGACGCCATAATAGCCGCGAGCCCTCGCGAGATATTCTGACTGTTCTGGATTGGCAATGATCGGCAAGCATCAATCTCAATTAAGATCGATTCCGGCCTTTCAACTAATTAAGGATAGACTTTTCAAGCACAGCCTCTGTCTTTTCGCCTTCTTTGTTCGGGAAACTTTCATTTGGCTTGGAAACGTGGTTCTGGTCGATAGAATGGCTTTAACCGGTCATCCTGACAGAGGAACCGAACTCTTGCCAGATCTAAATCCCATTGAAGATGAGCTGTACCCAGGCCTTCGAGATTTTTTTGGATCATTGGTATGAGATCGGTGTTAGCATTTCAAGAGCTTGCTGACCCGCTATTCGGACAGGCTTCTCGCGCTGTCCGGCTTAGCACAGCGTTAAGAACTCTGATATACCGGGGTCTCAGTAATTGCAGTATTTTTGGGGCACAGCAGATGCTTGGAGCGTGGTGTTTGATTGATGTACCTGGCGGATACTTTCGACAAAACAGTGGCATGTAATATATGTGCCCATTGGCTCTCGACCTTCTCCGTGGGCTTAGGCAGTATGTCAACCACGAAGAAATTTAAACCAGAGCCGTACAGAGCACCTTCTTAGTCTTGGGCAGCGGTTTACTCCAAGGTTTGTTAGCCAGGTCTTGTCGGACCCCCACACGGTTACTGGGAGTACAATTAGGGAGAGAGACTACTGCACTACGATAGCACGTCATGTGTTGGTATATGTTCCTACGTGCAAGCAGTTCAGATAATAATCCTTTTGGTGCTCTCTTTTCAGGCAGAATCGCTCTCCCGATGCCAATCACGCCTTGGGTTTGTTTCATGATGGTTGATGACACGAAGTAAAGGGACAACATCTTCAACCCAATGGCACTGTTATATCTAGTATTCAATCTATAGGAGACCTATTTTGAAACTAATCTCTAAGTACTTATGAGAGATTCTCTTTTATTGCCGGATAAGAACTAGAAGTTTGAATTTTCTTGAGAACATTCTTAAAGATAAGGCAATAAAACAAACCTAGTATCGCATTATATACCATGTACAATAGCTAGGAAAACATAGTCCCGTTTATGCAGGGCGTAGAGTAGTAAGTAATCGCAGGTCTCTGTTCAGTGCAAGACGACTCCATGTCTAAACTGGTAATAGTCGCTCCACTGAACCAGACTTCAAAATGACTTTCCCGTAGTGCCAATGTGGACTTGGCATCGTGTGTTCAAATAGCCTAAAGTATCTGCGAGATAAGGCATCTTGGCCATAATCTATTCTTGACGTCCACAAACTCTGGTGTGTATGACGCACCAATACCCGTCAAGATTCAAGGCATCTTGTAATTCCGTCGCCGCCGGTTCATATTGCGACAAGGTAGGATTTTCCGTAAACCTAGTTCCGCGCTTTATCCTACATCAAGATTATGTCTGCGCCTTGGGACTTTGGCATATAGATCGAGACCATGAACATCTCACCCGATGCAAGTGTATATCCCATAACCATGACATCCTGTAATTCAATACCTGAGCACCTGCTCCCTGATCGACAAACACACTTTATCAAAACCTGTAGCCGCCAAGTTGATGCTGTAAAGCAGTGCATTTGTGTCTCCCCAACGCCATGCCGCTCAGGAAGCTCTCTTGTAAGTCATAGTCATTCAGCAATTCGCCAGATTCAGGATACCGCAAAACGGAGAGCCACTTCCGAAGGCTCAACATCATCCAGGGTATTCCGTATTCCGATCCTGGGAATTCTGTGACTGCAGGTTTTTCATTGTAGAAACCGGCTGTTCATACGTCATACCGTTGGAATACGGATTTGCCGCCGGTAAGCCGCCTTCCGTCAACCATTCATAGCTGCTCCCCTCGAGGCTTCGAAAACTGCAGCTGCTTGAATCCAAGTAGTCAAGGTCAGATCGTCTGCTCGCCCGTTGGTTTCGCTGATTTTCACACGTTCTTCCTGTGTCGAATCATCATTCATGAAATCAGTGGTCGTATTCTCAGCCCTTCCCACACTAGCCTTGTCTGAATTTCCAGCCCGAAATGTACCGTCTTTGATATAGCCCCGTTGGGTCGTGGACACGCCAAGTCTTGGAACAACGTGTCCAACCCATGCAAGTTTTTCAACAAGTGAGCGTAAGCGCTGAGTGGAACGACAGCTCTTCAAGTTCAATAGCACCGTGGATATTTTCAACAACCCCCTACATGGTGAATTTAATCTCTTGCGGTTGATGGCGGGAGTCGTCGGAAGTGACGGTTGGGGTGCCTCGGCGTCGGCCATGAATGCGAGATGGCCGCCCGAAACTTTCACCGAGGTCAACAAATAGCTACAGTTGGAGCTCGGCGAGGAAAGGTGCTCCCAGTGAATAGAATCCCAAAAACAGACGAGGGTGACGTCCGGTCCACTGCGGTCTGTCCCATTGTAGGGCTTGGCTTCGACTGATCAACGATTTCGGCGAGGCGTGAAGGCCACGCAAGGACCAGAAGCAGCAAAACACCCCACTAATGCCCGGCATAGCGCATGAAAATTGCAAGGTATGCAAACACGGCGGCGATGGCACAATTCTCTAGCCGCACATCAAGGTAAAGTCTCCCGCGTGCGGATTTGCCAATGGCAAACCGGAAGCCGGAAGCCGGAAGCTTAGGGCTGGTGCGTGCTCGGCCTCGTTCGGGGTTTCACGGCGTCATATCAAAATAGTACGGCTTAGTATGTCTGGCTTACAGAACATCGGAGCATGGACTCGTTGGAATAGAGACGTCACCAACGGGGCTGCATGGCCCTTTGCCTCTCTTGGCTCTGGAGGCATTTCACGTCTGAAGTCTCTGCCGCCCGAGATGAAGACGGATCAGCACCGCACACCGCGAAAGTGGGCAGAGCGCTTTTGAACAGCTTCTGTACGGAGTAGACCTTGAGTAAATAACCTGCAAACTTTGTTCTAATTTTCGGTCTGCGCCACGGACAAACCAGATTCTGTCAATCTCCACTTACCCCAAATGTGACTATACCCATTTGAGACTGGGATCTCGGCAGTCTCCGACCAGAAAGACCAGACCTGGTGCAAAAGACGCCTTCTGACAGACTTGTGGGTTTCGTCCCTTACGTGAGGCATCACGACCACAATGCCTAAAAAAGTGTGTTGCGCTCTCCGTCATACGCCTTATACGGAGTACTCTATACGCAGTAGGTTAACAGTATTCGTCTAGTGACACCTGTCTGAGTGTACATGGTAAAGCACTCTCGCAAAGGGGCGCAAAGCCCATGTTCAAACAGGTTATCCTCTCGAGGCAGTGAAGGCTCCAATGCTGAGTCCTCTCAAAATCTGGGGTGCTTCAAGGAGATTGGCAAAAGGAAAAAAAAAACGTGAAAAGGAGCATACATTCCACACCGAACATGACGTACCGTGGGAGGCAAAAAGTATTTAACCAGATCAGTACCGGGTTATCGCGCTCTATACTATAATATACTACAGTATATTAATGTGTACGTATTGCCACAGATTGTCTGGTCTCAGTTTCAAGACATGGCATTTTATAGAGCATACCGATCTACTCCGTACCGTTCGACGTTTCGACCATCAAGACAACTGCGGCTCGCCCGACCGAAGTTGAGTTGCCGACCAGATGAGATATACGCAAGGCGTTCGGCACCAACGCCATGCCGACATGGATCAATAATTTCAAACCCGCGAATACCAGCCCTCTTATTAGGTGGCCGGCGGGGAGCTCATCCACTGACGGCTCGGTCAAGCTGCAGCTTTCCCCGCGATTGCCCCCGCAAAACAGGCAAAGATCATGGCAATCCGCCACATTTACGAGCCCCATGTGCCTTGACTAGCCGGAATCCCCTTTCCGATTTTCCATTATAACGACCGAGCTCCCGTGGTAACCGGTCAACTCGTCGGTGACGGATACAGCCAGTGGGTGCCAATGTCGTGTGGTGACACGACATTTCTGCTCGTCAAAATTGCCCATAAGAAGGGTCTTAAAAGCACCAGGGAGGACGACGAGCAATTTCGGCCTCTGGTTCAGTTTTCCCAAAATCTTTCCTTTTCGTTACCAATGCCCATCTGTTGATTCGCGAAAACGCTGAGCTCAGAATAGCAAGCCCTGATAAACCATGTCGTACCCCGTCATTGCTCTTGGCGTCGCCGCCATCTACTTCCTGGTCAGATACCTCAATGCTACCGACATTCCGAAAATCAAGGGCCTGCCCGAGATTCCAGGCGTCCCCATCTTCGGCAATCTGATTGAGCTGGGCACAGACCATGCACGCGTTGCGCAGCGATGGGCGCGCAAGTACGGGCCAGTCTTTCAGACCCGGCTGGGCAATCGCGTAAGTACAGTGAAGAACCAGACGGAGAAATCCACCGCTTTCATGGTACTCCATTTTTCTCATTCATAGGTGCTCTCTTCTTACCTTTATTATATCTTATTCGTTCCGGGTAGTGAAACAAAAAAAATGTGAAATAGATCGCCAGGCTAATTTGAGTCCCCCTCTGCCGGGATACAATCTAGCGCATCATCTTTGTCAATTCCTACGAAACCGTCAAGTACTTCTGGATCACTCACCAGTCGTCTCTCATTTCCCGTCCCATGTTCCACACCTTTCACTCGGTCGTGTCGTCCTCGCAGGGATTCACCATCGGCACCTCGCCCTGGGACGAGTCGTGTAAGCGCCGCAGAAAGGCGGCCGCCACGGCTCTCAACCGCCCAGCTACGCAGTCTTACATGCCGATTCTCGATCTCGAATCCACCGTGAGCATCAAGGAACTGCTGGAGGACTGCAAAGCCGGCACGCGGCCCGTAGACCCCATCAACTACGTTGCCAGGTTCGCGCTCAATACGTCGCTGACGCTCAACTACGGATACCGCATCGACGGGTCTATTGACAGCGAGCTTCTCCGGGAGGTCACCCACGTGGAGCGGGAGATTTCGAATTTCAGATCAACGAGCAACAATTGGCAGGATTACGTTCCCCTGCTGCGACTGTGGGGTGCTCAGAACTCGTCGGCGCAGGAGTATCGACTCCGGCGCGACAAGTATCTTTCGGATATGCTGGACCATCTCAAGGCGGAAATTGCAAAGGGCACGGATAAGCCTTGCATTACAGGAAACATCTTGAAGGATCCCGAGGCAAAATTAAACCTTGGTATGTTCCTACGCGGCCCCAGATACATTATATGTCTATCTAGAGACTTCAAGTTTCCCCGTGGGAGGGGGCATGCTGACTGAGTGGGCGCTCTGTAGCCGAGGTCAAGTCGATTTGTTTGACCATGGTCTCTGCCGGTCTCGATACCGTGCCGGGCAATATCATCATGGGCATGGCATTCCTCTCCACTAAGGAAGGGCAGGCGGTACAAGCCAAGGCCCTCAAGGCAATCGAAGACGTATATCCAGAGGGCGACGCTTGGGAAAAGTGCCTGGTGGAAGAAAAAGTGCCCTATATCACTGCGCTCGTCAAGGAAGTCCTCCGATACTGGACCGTGATCCCGATTTGTCTTCCACGCACCAGTATTCGAGACATCCCTTACAAGGACACTGTGATTCCTGCAGGAACTACCTTTTTCATGGTTAGTATTATATCGCTGTGCTCTTTGTTTCCTTCTTTCTCTTCTTTTCGGTTGCCTCATCTATGATCCAAGCTAATGCCACGTTTCTGGGGGGACAGAACGCCTATGCCGCCGACTACGACGAAGAGCGATTCAAGATGCCCGAGAAATTCATCCCCGAGCGGTTCTTGGAAGACACAGAAGTTGGCACGCCGCATTATGCGTACGGAGCGGGGTCTCGCATGTGCGCAGGCTCGCACCTTGCGAACCGCGAGCTGTACACGGCGTATATTCGCCTCATCACGGCATTCGAAATGTTCCCGTCGGAGAATCCCGAGGATGCGCCTTGCATGAACTGCATCGAGTGTAACGCCACGCCCACGTCGTTGACGTTGGATCCGAAGCCGTTCAAGATTGGCATTAAGCCGCGCTCCAAGTCCAGGCTGAGACAGTGGATTGCGGAAGCGGAGGAACGAACAGCGCACTTGAGGTAGACACCAGATATTACTTCGGTACATGATGAATTGCATTTGAAAGATGATATGATGATCAATTTGTCGACTGGGGCGACGGCCGTCGTCCTTTGTGGAACGTGACTGACAGCCACGACAAAAGACGGTCCCATCATCGCAATTGGGTACCTAGGGAATTGGGTCATTGGCAAATGCACCGTCAGCGTCCTGATGAGTTATTTGAGATCAGCACATGACAGCCCACCCTTGTATTTCTCGAGAATAGGATCAATGGGATTAAATTGCTGTCGGTGGCAGTGCTGCTCAGCTACATGTGAGTACCAAGGTACTTTAGAGCCCTGATCCATGCCCAGGTACGATCGGATCCCGGTGGTTCTTCCGCACGCGTCATCAGTTTGAAACGGGCGGCACATAGCCAGACTTATCTAATAACGGCGCGTAGCTGCTGTAATATTAGCATCATGGCCGGGATTTAATTGGTTGACGAATTACATGTATTTACTCCGTACGGAGCATCTAACTACTAAGTACCTACCTAAGGTAGGTAGTATCTAGAGGTAGTTATGGTTCCGCAGAGGAGGACTGGAGCCTATGCTCTGTCGGATTGTTGCTCGAGACAATACAGCGTACAATAGCCAGGCTTGGCTCAATGAACCTGATGACGACGGGGACTGGAGACATGGCAGTGACCTGCCCAGCTGGAAACGTTTGGTGGAACTACTGGGGTTCTTAGCCAGTAAGGCGTTTGTTCGGTGGTATTGACCTGATGGGGACGTTGGGGGGTTCCCAGCTCGACCCTCTCAATGTGCTCGGGTTCATTGAGAAGCGTGTTGGGGTGCAGAGCGATGGTAATGATGTATAATGCTGTCGCAGTGCAAACTGTAGAGCCATTGATGGCTATGGCCACATGCAGGTTGAAGAAGAGGCTAGGAATGGCCCTGCCCATGTGGCGGCAATGTTCAACAGCGGACATGAACGGGCCAAGGATCCAGTCTACAGGCTTGGCCGACTTGAGCTGGACAGCTGGTCGCCAGCTGGTGTGGTGGCGTCATCATTTCGACATGGAACCGCACCGTCCAGCGCCTGGACATGAAATGACCGAGACACTTCAGTGTTAGGAAAGACCAATTCATGATGCAAGTCGCCAATGAAACACACCAGACACAACACAAATACAAATACGTACGTACGAACCAGTGTTTGATGAGCCCGGTGACGGCATACACACATGGTCGTGCTCTGCCACCAGTCCAGACCAGCCAAGCCAGGGACCCATGACAATAACACGAGTACCAGCACCCCTGCCCATCTCATCATACGGGATATTGAACATTGAATGGAGGAATTTTGTCGTATTGTCTGCAAGACGAGACCGAGCATTACAATATACTTGGCGCTTCGCTCCGCTCCGTTATTGATGCCGTCAATGCTGCCAAAGTACTCAGTTTGAGAGCCATCAATAATTCAGGTTGACGTTATCAGACAATCAATACTGGTATCAATTGGCCGTCTTGTCCCCGTTGCCTTCTTTAGTCGAGCCCAAGCGCCCCCCGTCCCAACGCCGTTGACGAAGGCCTGCCCCGGTCCCAGCACCGCTTCGTTTCTGCCAACCCGTGTGCTTCTCTCGCCCGCATCTTGTCACCGGTGACGACTTCGTTCCTCTTCACTCTTCACTCTTCACTCTTCACCACCGCCGTGGCCCCTACGCGAGCATCTACCGGAAAACCAGACACGACCGCAGCACTGTGTCCCCTGTGTTTTTCATCGTCATCGCAGCGTTTCGTCATCTATTTCACTCCTGTCTGATCGCAGCCTTCGCAGCCGCCCACGCCGCCATCCGAAACCGCAGCTGATTGATTCTCTCCGCACATCATCCCGTCCAGGCAATCATGCAGGCCTAAATTCTGCCCAGACTTTCGACAACTGCCTCGCATCCTCGTTTTCCCATCGTCTGCTGGTTGCTGTCTTGGCTCCTCTAACCAGCGCTGCGTTGCACGCTTGCTGCCGTCGCACCGTTGTCGGCCCAAACCGATCGACGAAAAAACGACCGCCACCAAAGCTTGCTTCGTTGACACCATTCCCCTTGCGGCGTTCGCCTCGGTGGCTGCAGTTTTGCTTCGTCCGACTGCGTTTGGCTATTTCTTAAAATTGGTGCTGCTTGAAACTTAGGTGTTTTGCCGACGTAGTTTTTTTTTTATTCGACACGGAGAAGAGGAAAAGGAAAAAAAAAAAACACCAAATAAACCACCCCTACTTGCTACCTTGATCTGAATATTTGAGCGTTTTTTCTCTCCTTTGCTCATTTCCATTTCCGCACCCCTCACGTCACGTCTGCTGCCGTGTCTTTTGACCTCTCAGCGGAGGCTATGGAATCGTAAGTACCCCGACAAAAGTACCCCTAACCTTCAAACCGTTCCTTCCAGCTTCAGCTCTCTGTGCTCTTGTAATGTCCAGTGTCTCAACCTGGAACCTGGGCTCCCTCGACACTCTTCTTGTCTTGCGCAATGAGACAGTGTATAGCATATTGGTCGACAACCGCATCCCGTCAACACTATTATTCGCGAGCCTAAACCATGACCGTGGCTAACCACCTGTTCAGCTTCATCTACGCCGCTGGCTGGCCGCAACATCACCAAGCATCCTCCCGACCTTCCTCCGGCCGATCTTCCCTCGGCCATTTACGTTCCCTGTCGTCCGTTGCCATCACAACTCAATCCACACCGCCCTCTCAGACGTCACAAAAGCCTCGTCTACCTCTCAAATCACCGTCCAGCTCACACTTGCCCGTCATTTCTCTCGCAACCCCCCATTCCGCACCCGCCCTCAACGATGAGATGAGCACCCTGCCGGATCCTCGGAGTCGCTCCAAAACCCCGGCCAATGACGAATCCGAGCCGAGTTCTAACCACCATCCCGACCTCGACGATGAAGTCGCTACCCTGAGCACGAAACTTATCAACGCCATCAACTACCAAACCGTTCTCGATGACACCCTCTCAGCAACCCGTCACGAGCTATCTGCAGCCAAGGATCGCATACGAGAGCTAGAGTCTCAGAATTCTTCTATGCTGGACACCATTCGAGGCGACGTCTGGGTTCGTCGATCAACCCTCGAGGCAGAGAAGAAGGCATTGGCCTTGGAAAAGAAAGGCATGCAAGCCAAGCTAGCAGAAGAAACCGCCCGGCGTCTCGACACTGAGAAAGAGAAGAGGAAAATTGAGCAAGAGCTGGAGAACCTTACCACAGCCCTATTCGAGGAGGCTAACAAGATGGTGATTGGTGCCAAGGAGGAGGCACAAGCCCAACATGATGCCTTGCGACGCAAGATTGATCAGCTCAAGGCCCAGCTGGCCGACTCGGAAGGACTGTTGAAATCCCAGCAGGAACAACTCTCTGAGCTAAAAAGCGTCATGGAGACGATGGCTTCGGAGCACGATGAACAGACTAACGGCACAGCACCGCCATCACCGGGTGGCGGCAGATCTGATCATGAATACGATGATCGAGCTGTTCCATATGGACCCTATGCCGTTTCTCCTTCGACCGATTCTTTTGCCCCTTGCTCACCCTTGAGCTTGTCGCATCTTGTCCAACCTGCTTTGCGAACGGATCTTCCAGCTTTCGACGATTTCATGAGTCTGGCCAGACTATCCCACAACAGGTATTCTCCTAGTAGGATCTCCTCGGGGTCATTGGGCAGCCTAAATGCTCTTGCCCTAGGCCTTGGCGGTTCTACATCAAGTGCCCATCCTTCCAACGCCTCCACCACGTCTCTCAGCGCTTCCACCCCGGCCGACAAGAGTGCTCCGCAATCCCCCAACACGCCGGCATCGACGGCAAGCGTTGGCTCCAGCGGTATACCGCTTCCTCCGCTCAAGGAAACTCGATTTTACAAGCGCGCTCTGACCGAGGACATTGAGCCGACTCTGCGGCTCGATATTGCCCCGGGTCTATCATGGCTCGCCCGCCGCAACGTGTTGAGCTCCATTGCGGAGGGGTCTCTGGTTGTCGAACCGATCCCGGCCAGCCCAACTTGTAATGCCACTGCCAAGCAACCTCAGATGCAACCCTGCTCCCTTTGTGGAGAGTCCAGAAAGGACTCACAGTACCTGCGAAACCACCGATTTAGGACTAGCGAGGCGGATACGGCTCAGAGATATCCACTGTGCAATTATTGTTTGAACCGAGTTCGCTCGACCTGCGACTACCTTGGCTTTCTTCGCATGGTCAAGGATGGCCATTGGCGAGCAGACGATGAGGACCAGGAAAAGGCGGCTTGGGAAGAGAGCGTGAGACTCAGAGATCAAATGTTTTGGGCACGCATCGGCGGCGGTGTTATCCCTGCTGCTCCCGGCCATGCTGAAGACGAGGCGGGTCAGGAAGCCAAGATCAGTCGTCAGTCGGAGGAGTCCAACGGCGCATCCGAACAAAAGGACTTCTCCGAAAACAAGGTTGTGTGTTCGACGCCAGAGAATCGCAGCCACGAGGACGTTACCAAAACTGCCACCCTGGAACCCCATACTCCCCCAGAACAGACCGATGGCGGACGCGCATTCCGCACTTCTGTGCAGTCGGCTGACTCGCATGAAACCGCTGACTCTATCAGCACCAAGCGGCAGTCTGCAGAATAAGCTATGGCAACAGCGAACCACACACATGGCGGATTTCAGCACAAATTTACAAGCCGCTTTATTTTTATCACAGTTTTTGCAGTCATTATTTAATACATCATGTATAATATTATTAGTAATGGGTCGTGGTAGATCTGCACACGGACGAGGCGTTAAGACGGAAGGGGGACGGGTTTGTTTCATGAAATGACGTTTACCTATTCGCGGATGGACAGTCATGTGGACGAATTGCAGCATACAATGCATTGGACGGAGTCTGGGCAGGGATACAGAATTATTGCTTTGCTTCACGGGGTTGCCGGCTGAAGCCTCAATTCTACCGATTGACTTGATCTGATGATTTCCCTGAACACTGCTGCATTGTGAAAGTAATGTGCTTCGTTGTTGCAT